AGCCCCCCGGACATGTCTGCCGGCAGCAGGCCCGCAGGTGAGCTCTGCTCCCCCTACCCCAAACCCTGCCCCACCATCTTGGGGGATGACATGGTGCCCCCCGCCCACCACCAGTGGCCCCCCTCACAGCGCCTCCTCCCCTGTAGCCTCGGGGGCTTGCAGGAGAGGCTGGCCCGTCAGGGCATGGTTGATGTCCGCTACATGATTGTCAATGAGAAGGCACCTCTCTCCCGCGCCATGTTTGGGGAGCTGGAGCGCCAGGTGCCGCCGGGGATCCCTGTCTACCAGCCGAAGCCAGAGGAGCCCGACGTCTGGCAGGTCCTGGGGGGCGACAAGGATGACTTCCTTGTCTATGACCGGTGAGTGTCCCCTGTCTCAGCTGAGACTTTCCTGGGGGGTTATGGAGCATTTGGTGGGCTTCCAAAAGGTCCCCCCATGGATGGGCTGGGGGGACTCCAGACCCTCTGCCTTGAGCCATGGCTTCTCCCCTCAGGTGCAGCCGCCTGGCTTTCCACATCCAGCTCCCCTACAGCTTCCTCCACTTCCCCTACGTGGAATCAGCCATCCGCTTCACCCACAGCAAGGACTTTTGTGGCAACTGCTCCCTCTACCCCAACACCACCCAGGAGGTAAGGAGCAGGGATGCTCACTGGAGCTGGGCTCCCTTCTCTCCTCTGGCATTTCAGGAAAAACAACCTTATCTTCACGTCGGGTACAGGCTCTGGGTTGGCAGCCACTCTCAGCCATGGTTGAGAGGGAAGGTGAGGACAGGTCTGGAATAACGACAGTTAAACAGGTCAGAGCTTTCAGGCTGAGAAGGAGCAGACCAAAAGGGTTATAGCCCAGGTCTGGAAAAGCTAACTAGTGTCACTGGCTATTCTGATATAGGACAGGGGCAGGCAGTGGAACCAGAGGTGGCAAAATCAGAGCAAATAAAGGACATAGCTACAGGCTCAGCAGGCGATTAGTCACTTCCTAGGAGAAAAATCCATCTAGAAATATTAAATGCAAAGTCCCCTTCCTGGCTCAGGAATTCCCTGGACCACAGGCAGCTTGAGCCACAGCGTGTAGGTACAGAGGCTTATGTGCTATATGCTCCAGCCTCTCCTGTCCTCCCTGTGCCCTGGGTGGGGGCTGGAGAGCCTTTACTCTGACCCACGCAGCTTTCTGTATGACAGATGCCGATCTGCTTTTCATCCCATCTCACAGAAGTTCTTGCAGGCTCACTGCAGGACTCTGTGTCCATTCACGTATGGCACTGGCCCTTGTATTACTTTTCTCAGGCTAACAGTACCATGGAGGTCCCCGTAACCCTGAGCCTGCCTCCTGAACAAGAGAGGAAGGAGTCAGAGACCCCTATCCACCAGCACAACCCCCTCCATCCTCACCACCATCATGAGGTCAGCGGTGAGAGAGCCACCAACACAAGTGGGGACCATGAACCTGCCACCCATGCTCACCACCACAGAGACCACAGCCAGCCCCATCATGAGGCGAAGAAGCAGAAGGAGGGGAATGAGCCCTAAGCCAGGCTGGGCAGCCTCACAGAACCCATTAGTCTGCAGACCACACCAACTTGCTTCCCAGAGGCATGAAAGGACTTGCTTTGGGCTGCTGGTCACCAGCAGCATTGGTTTAGCAACACTTTCCAGCATCCCCCATGCGGGTTGTACTCCCACGCTGTGACCAGGGATGAAAATCCCCCTCAGACCCCACGAGGTGCTGCGTTTGCAGCCCCACGAGTTGGTTCTGAGCCTTCCTCTACCGCTGCCTGCCTTTCCGTGCTCAATGAAGCCCGCCGTGCAAACCGGGAGGTCCCCGGTCACTGCTGGCTGACACTGCACTGAGCAGCAGAGCAGGGGTGGAGGGGCCAGAACTGGGACAATAGCAGCACCTGGCACCCCTGGGTGTCCTGGCTGGGGAGTGAGGGAAGGGACAGCGTGGGCCCTGCAGGACGTGATCCCAGGGGATGGGGCACTAGGAGAGGTGGGAGGTCGCAGCTCCCAGTGGTCTAAGCCCTGTACCCCTATAGCTGTCACATGCTGGGGACCCTCCAGGCCTTGCACACGGGTATGTGCAGTGGTGATGGGTGGCCGCAAGATGGTGGCCTTGTCCCCTCTTGGAGACCTGGGGGCTGTAGGCAGGGCCCACAGCGCTGGGAGGGAGGGTTGAGGATCCTGGGGTCTCTTCTGGGGAAGAAGCGAGATCGGAGGGTGATGCGGGTATCCAGCGTACGAATAAAACCTCTGTGAAGCAAACCCTGCTCAGCCTGGCCTCTGGTGGGAGGATCGCTCAGTGCTGCACTGGCCCTGGGCTTTTCTTTGGGCACAAGGGGGAACCTGGGGCTGGATGTGAACCCCATTGAAGGGGCAGCCGGCGGTGATTTACATTCCCCTGTGCAGCAGCCTGGAGGTAAAGGGGTTGAAGACCAAAGAGATCCTGTCTCTTCACACCTTCTGGTTACCTCCTGCCAGGATGTGATCCCAGGGCTTAGTCCTCCCCAGTGGAGGGCATTAATCCTGCACTGCCAGGACAAAGTTTGGTTAGGCATGTCGATCTCTGGCTTGTAGGTGTGATGTTGGGCTGCCTGCCCTGAGTCCCTGTTGTGGGGCAAACGTTCACACATGCAGTCCAAAATCATCTTGGGCATCTTGTCCCCAGTGCCGAGGCTGGTCCCCATTGCAAGCATATCGTGGGGCTCCCCAGCCCTCAAGCAGTTGGGTGCTACATCGCTGGCAGGCAGTCATGCCTGCCTGCTCCCTAGGCCGCCCCTATGCCTGTCTCAGCCCCATAGCCCTTCACTCCAGCTCCATTGGTCATCCCACACAGCCCCACTCAATGCCTCCCCTAAACTCTCCATCTCCTCTCTGGGCCCCACAGCCTGAGAGGGGATCAAGAAATGGTTTTTCTGCTCAGCGTCATGTGGCACCGTGCTGTGACGTGTGTCCTGCTGCTGATGCTCTGAGCTGAATTTCTGCTCCATGTCCTGGAAGGCTGCACCCCTCTGCCTTGTCTCTGCGGGTGGATGCCCTGCCCAGCGACTGGGGCAAGAGTCAGGGTGAAGAGTTGTTCCTCATGGGGTGAGGGCAATGGGATCAGGTGGGTCTTTCTCATCAGCCCATGGGAGCCAGCCAGGCTCTCCCACAGGGTGCTGGCTGAGACCTTTCTCCCCCTTCTCATTTTTCTTGCTCCTCCTCCTCCTCCTTCCTCCTCCTCCTCCTCCTTCCTCCTCCTTCCTCCTCCTTCTTCCTCCTCCTTCCTCCTCCTCCTCCTTCCTCCTCCTCCCAGCCCCAGCACCGAGCCCAGCTCGCACCTACCTGCCTCCACTGTGGCGCAGGTGAGGAAGACGAGGGCGCAAGGCAGAGGAAGGCCCTCCCCCTCCTCCTCCTTCCTCCTCCTTCCTCCTCCTTCTTCCTCCTCCTTCCTCCTCCTCCTCCTTCCTCCTCCTTCCTCCTCCTTCCTCCTCCTTCCTCCTCCACCTGCTCCTAGCAGCCCACAAGGGCACCTCTGTCTGCTGCTCCTGCCATCAATATTGAGGTTATCTTTTTTTCTTCTGGCAGCTGCTGTAATTGAAACAAAGCAGGCCGGGCCTCACGGGCTCCGCTCCTCTTGCTCATTTTGCTGGTGCTGCTGAGACAACTAATTCATCTTATCAATGCGTTGTTGGCCTCTTTTCCACCAGATCCAGGCAGAGCCCTCTCCATACCACGTCTGGTGAGAGCAGTCTGTGTCCCTGCAGGATGCTGCTGGATGCTGCTTTGACCCAGCCTCTGGTCCTCAGCTTGCATCAGCTGGATGCTGGCGCCCAGCAGGAGGTGCCAGGGGAGCCAGCCAGGAGGGAGAGATGCAGACTGGAAGGATGCTGATGACTTTTATCTCTTTCTTTTGCATTCTGATGCTTCCTCAGCCCTTTTGTTAAATTCCATATCCGTTCCTTGCACAGCTCCGAAAGGTGTCCCTGGCAAGGAGGTGACAGGTGATGAGTGGGGCATACACAGATTTGCCATCCCTTGCTGATGACCAGATCTGCAATTAGCAGTACCAGATAGAGGGATCATGTCTGGTGCTGGGTGGGTAGTCCAGTGGCAACTGTGCTGCACTGCTATCATTCGGTTGCCTCACAGCAGATGAATTTCCAGCCCTGAAAGCATGGGTTGGTATTTCGCTTTGGGTAGAGAAGTTGAGGCATATGAAAGAGCTGCGACACTGTTTGGGTGAATTCCTACATGTCTGAGTAATGACAAGGGTTTAGGGTAAAGCTGATGCTGCTCCATATATTATTGTCCAAAGGCCTCAAGGGTTTGGGGGTGCTGTGCTTGGGGCCCCCATGGCATCACTCACCCGAAAGGTGCCAGAGACCTGGAGATCTGCAAAACCTGTGTTGGTGTCTGCACTTTTGTGGTGCTGAGGGAGAGCTTTGCTTTGAGTGGGGTTGAGGAGCGGTGTTTTGTGGGAGTTAACAGTCTCTTCACATCGCTGATGTCTCAGGGAGTGATGGACTCAGCCCCAAGGAGTGCTCAGCTGTCAGGAGGGCTGGCTCATCAGGGGAGGGTCCAGGGCAAGAAACTAGGGCTGACCTCATGTCCTGGCAGTGCTGCACTGTGGTACCATGGTATCTATGCCTGTGCCACCATCCCAGAGGAGGACAGATCCCACTCCCGCATCACATGCAACCTTGGCCCTGTGTGCTGCTCCTGCCGAGGGCCAAGCAGATCCTCTCAGGAGAGAGGGAACAGCCAGTCCTAATGTCAACAGAGGCCTCTTGTGCAGCGATGCTGTGTCAAGAAGAGGAATGGGTCCCTCCTCCTCCACCCATTCATCTGGCAGCCGGGGCTGGCGTGCTGCCAAGCCAGGCTGCTTTGGAAACATTTCATTGAGGAGGCAGCTGAGCCTAGGAAAACAGAATGAAAATATACAGAGAGATCACTGTTGTTAGGCAAAATAAATGCAGTCGGCTGCATTTCTGTCTCCCAAGTCCAACCCAGCCAGGCTCCTCTTGCTTCTATGAAGTGAGGGTGTACACTGCTGCCTGGGGATGGCAGCCATGTATCTCCATCATGGGTTAGGAGCTGGGGAATGAGGGCTGGAGATATCATCGCCAGCTTTGGCCAACTTGCTGATGTCCCTGGTGAGCAGGTCTGGACTCATCTCAGTGTAGCATCACCCAGGGATATGGGACAGAGCAGAGAAACAGCCGCAGAAATGAGCTAGCCCCGACGACTCGTGCCCCCTGCATGGCCACTGGTGCTGGAGGCTGATGAAGACAGGGCTGAGGAAGTTCATCAGAGATTGGCCTCGTTCATTCACATCTCCCTCCCCAGCATCAATCAAGGGTCCTGGGCAGTCATGAGGCCACCAAAGCTGGACATAGCCCAGTCCCTGGGTTTTCAAAGCCCTGTTGCTTGGCATACCCCATCTTTCATCTGCTGTCAGGAGAGCAGAGTCGCCCCAAAGCAGTCCTTGGGGACAGAGGGTGGAAGCATATCTCTGACATCTCTGACTTTTGAGCAAAGGTGCTTTCAACAGGTTTGTCTCTCCCATTTTTTCTCCCACAATCTCTCTTCTCCCGTCAAAGGTCTCCAAGACTCCCCTGGCCATTTGCTGACTCACAAAAGGCCTATCCCAGCTCTTTTACTTCCTCCTGGTGGGTCCAGAGTGGTTTGAGGGAGGCAGAGCTGGAGCCTCAGCCCCATGGAATATCAAGGCTCTTACCCCCTCACAGGTGCTCTCAGTGCCATCCTGATGCAGCTTTTCACGACTTCACCTCCTCTCTTTGTCCACCCAGCACAGTCTTGCACATTGCCATGCAAGAACAAACCAGCCATTTCTCTGTGCTGCTGTTTTCTAGCCCCTACCTTTGCTTGTCGTTGATGGATGATGGCATGGAGGGAACAGTTTGCTTCTGTTACTTATGGGTTTGATCTGGGGGTTGAAAGGAGCCCAGTGTGAGCAGACAAAGCCTCACCAGCACTCCAGGAGAGACACATCTCACCAGCCCGACACACATGGATTTGCAGCACAGAGCAGATGCCCAAGACAGCAGCTGGATCCTGTGCTGGTCTCTGTGTTTATAGGAGCTTTGCTAAAATTCAGGCTCTCCTCTTCTTGCCCTCCCACCAGGAAAGCAGCTAGCAAGATACTCCTTTTTTTGCTGCCATGCGAGGGGAGACTTGCCATGTCTCTCTCTATCTGTCTTTCCTCAAGATGAGCTGGTTGTGATGCTTGGTTTTCAAACGAAACTTGGGGCAGCATTGAGCTGTCACATCCTGCTTTTGTCCCGGGTGCCGGGAGTGCTGGCGCCTCTGCTGAAGCTTTGCCGCTGTCTGCTGCCAGCTCCTACACATGGAGCGATGTGTGAGGGCATGCCATTGTGGAGGGGAGCTGAGATGGGTGAGCTGTTAAAGGGAAGGTCAGCATGGTGCAACCTCCCCCTGTCCCACTGTGCCCCAACTGACCAATACTGAGGGTAGCACTGGGATGTGGCCTCATGAGTGAGTCCTCACGTGGGCTCTCCGCACTGCAGAGA